CCCCAAAACCCCAAAACCCCAAAACCCCAAAACCCCAAAACCCCTAAGGGGCGCTGTTGGTTGATGCTGGATGGATATTTAAGGATTATATATTTATTCAGAAGATGAGGATCTTTGGTTGTAGAGATATTGGCCAGCAGCAAGTCCGACTGAAAGGAGTCCAGTGTAGATGGAATTTATTAGCTCGTAACTGCATGTGACTCCTAAAAGCTTTAGTGCAGAGTGCTCAGCATCGTGATCGAGAATTTCTATGTTGTGGTCAATTACATTGATTCAATTTTCGATTCTCTCATTTCTCTGTTCCTCACTCAAATTTAATTCTTTGAACCTTGTAACGTAAGCTTTTAATGTCTTTGAGTTAAAGTTCTTTATATCTCAAAGGTCATCATAATTCAGTTGCACCTCAATTAAATTAGTTTTAAGCTTTAAAAATAACTTTTTATGAGTGATAAAGCAACAATTAACGTCAGCTCCTACTTTAATCATTTGGATCATTATTCCTCATATAAGAAACACATCATAATATCCCAACACAAATACAGGAAGTGGAATTTCATATTTTAAAAAGCCAAAGAAGACCAAAGTGAAGAATAATGCAATTAATCCATACATTCCAATGAAGATAGATGAATATAGAAAAGCTCTATAGGTATATTTCAACCCTAAATCTAGTGTAATCTTCCTAAGAGTCATCCATCTTTTAAGATTATTAGGGTCTGTGATATCTATAACAGGAATATCTTTATCAATTTTGCTTTGATAAAGACTTCTATCTGGATTAATAAACCAAGAGAGTACTTTTTGGTAGAAAAACTTTCGTCTGAAATCTACTAATCCATAAGATATGAACAATAAATTAAACATATGCATCGTGATGCTAAGGAACACCATGCATAATAGAATATAGGCGTCTACTCCAGTGAAAGACGAAAGGTTTTTGTAGTTTAGTCCTATATTGGCAAAATAGAGCATCATTCTTCCAATAGTAATGTATATCGGCAGCATTGTTGCTCCTGTTACATATTGGTTAAGTATAGAAATATGCCTAAGAATTGCCTCTCCATGATATTCTTGATCAATAGGGGCGTTGTTTCCATTCATCACCAACTTTGTTTCCTCCCTTTGGACTTCAACTTTTTCTTCTGTTTGAGTTTTAGGCTTGAGTCCAAATATTGAAAGGGGGTTTACTTTCTTTGCAGGAGTGTTCTCTCTATTTTAGAAATATTAGTGTTCTTAATTTTAGTAAAGATAATTTGAAGGCTGATAAGAAAAGGTCCGTCAAAGATATAGCTTACTGCACATTGTTTTGCACTTGCTTCTTTTCTTGTTTTTTCTTGGCCTTTTCTAACTTCTCTTGTTGTTTTTTATCTTTAAGATCTTTCTTCATTGCTTTAATTACATCTTTGACTTCAAGAGATTGATCTTTATGAATAAAATTTAATTTTATATAACAAGAAAGGTTAATGTTTCTCTACTATCTAACTTTGAATTAAATAAAACATGTTAATTTTAGACAGTAAGTTAAAATTTTAAAGTGTGGTTATATTCAGAGTAAAAATATCCCCGAAATTTCTAATTATAGCTTTATTAGCTGGAATTATTTCTTGGATTTTAATAGAAAATCATTACAGACGCTTAGCTTTATAAAGAAGCTAGTATAATAATTTTTACCTGTGAGTTTTTCGTGATATTCTTTATTAATGGGAGTAATAAATCTGAAGTAAAATTTCTTTTCTTCATATTTTATCCTGTACCTTGAAGCTTCTATTTCACGAGATAAAGCAGAGGAGTTTAATTTTTGCCAGGACATTAGAATGAGATCCTGAGAAACCCACTCAAATGTCTGCTTTGATTTCATCAGTGAATATCTTGTATTCGAGATAAATGCATATCTGATAGCGATGATCATAGATCGAGTTAATATAGTAACTACTGGGAAAAATATATCAGGTCCTGTAAAATACTTCGATCCAAGGACAAAGTAAAGAACCAGTATAGAAATAAATGCCATAGATTGCATCATTTGGACACCTGCAACCATTGATTTACATCCAAGAAAGTACATGTTTGAAGTAAAGTTATATCCTTCGATTAAAGCAATAATCAAGCTTCCCATATATCAAGTTGAGAAATATAGAATATGGTAGAATAAGATCTTAAAAAATATCTTTGGTTTAAATATAACTTCATAATCAGAGATATTCACAACCTTTTGGACGAAATTTCTTCCAATTCTTTCCATTATGTTTGGAACATTTTTATCTCTAATAATATGTAAAATATAATACTTACCTTTCTTTGTGGAAAACTTTTCTGACCATCTTGAGATTAGATTTCGGTTTATCATCTTGAATCATAGAGCTTTCAAAATTATCTTTTTCTTCAATTCGTTCTATGCTATCAAATCTACTATTTTGAATCTAAAGAAATGAATTTAAAGATTACCTTTGACCTCTTCATTTGATCTATGGTCATCAATTTCACTTAGATCCTGCATCTCAGAAGTAACTACTCTCTTTCTTGAATTACTAAAGAATTAAGATCTTCTTGCATACTCTGGACTATCATAATACCTTCCATTTTCCCCAAAAGCTTTCTCAAAACTAGGTATGCTACTATTCATATTTATATTTTTATAATTTTCAAAAATTTAGGATTTTCTAGGGGTTTTGGGGTTTTGGGGTTTTGGGGTTTTGGGG